TAATTATCTATAAAAATATTGAAAATTAATCGAATATGTTAACTTTTGAAAATTGACTTGGAGGTAGGCGGGAGAACAATACTATCGTTCGCAGTTCTTTTATCTTTAGACCTTAGATCGTACAACATAACTTTTAAAACACCCCCCCCCCCTTTCAACCATGCAATTAAAAGGTGCTTTTCCGCCATGTACAACAAATGCATCTTGGTTTCTACCATGCATTAGGTTTATCAATGTCTTAATCGGAGCAAAATAAATACGAGGGTTGTCACAGAATTCCGTAGCTTTATGCATAGATTAAACCAACAATATCAAATAGGTTTATGAACAAATATCGAGGAACTACACAAATTTACCCCATTTGAATGTTACATTATATTATCTGGGGTACGAAGGCGGCGCAGTACCCAAAAGTTTCAAGTAAAAATCGGTATATTATATTTAAAGTTCTACGGAAAATTAATTACTAACCTGTATTTATTGATTGGATAAAAATTTCTTAATAGTGTTTTATAAACTAAATTTCTTCAAATTTTGGTGTTTATTCATTGATAAATATTTATTTCATAACGTTTAAACACGGGGTTGAAATCCTATTTTTTAAAAATGGCACACAAAAGTGTGAGCAGCCTATTGTTTATTTAAAAAGAAACAAAAGGGGAACAGAATAATGAAAAATATGGCTTTAGCAATCAGATGTTAGGATTCATGTTAAACGATGATATTGCATGAAATTTATTTACAGGTCAGAGGCACTATGTGTCTTCAAGGTAGGCCTATTCAAGAAAGGTAAAAAGATTGATTGATTGTATATTGTTTAACGTCCCTCTCGAGAATTTTTCACTCATATGGAGACGAAAGGTAAAAAGAGAAATGAATACGGCAATTCAGAATATTTTGTATTTTATACGAATAAGCTTGCCAATCATTATATTTCTCCATGATGATTCTCGTGGTACTTTATCCGCACACCTTTTTTGCGCCATGCGTGAATGTACCACAATTGTCATTATTTCATAAATAGGCATAAGAAAGTCATTGTTTGTTCAACGTTAATACTCATCAATAATTTGTTGAAAAAGCAAGAAAGCTCAATTTAGATAGTTTTCAATTCATACTGATAAAATGTGACTCAGGTTTTCCAGAGGGACATACATACTACCGTATAGGGGTTTTCCTGGCGGGTGTAAAATTTGGTGTTTTGCCTGCTCAAAGACGAAGGATTTCAGATCTTTGCAGATGGACACAAAAAAGAGTACTGACTACTTTAGCGATAAAAATTTTAGCGGACTATCATCAAAACGCCAAAATAAGCCAAAATTAGCACCACGCTAAAATAATCTGCTATAGATACGGTATTTGATAGTACAAAGCATTAATAAAATTTAATGTGTAACGTTACATGTATATCGAGCCTTGCATTCAAGGATGTTAATCTCCATACTCTTTAAAGTTAATCTATCTTCTTACAATTATTTTTAACGAAAAACATTGTCAAAATATTGTAAAAAGGGGGTTCTTGAGAAATTGCAAAACATATTTACAGTTCTTTTTCCTAGCTTGTTTTGAATCACAGAAAATAATCTAATTTAAAATGCCCGAAATCTACATTTTCGTACACAACTTAGCGCAAATGTACCTCTTTAAAGCTCATTCTCTCTCAAAAGTGTCGCCCGCATGGCGCAGCGGTTAGAGCGTCTGCTCTAGAGTGGCGAAGTAAGGAGTTGATCTTTACATCGCGGGTTTGAATCCCACTCTGGGACGTGGAGACCATTCCTTCGAATGATACAGTATACACCGAGGTTCCGTGTCGCAGAGGGTGGCACGAAAAAGATCCGTCCCTGCTCAATGTCCCTGAGTGCCGAGTATAGAACAATATTTGCAGCTCTCTTTGCAGCAAGTGCTGTCATCTCCATTTGAGTGAAAAATCCTCGAGAGGGACGTTAAACGATATAAAATCAATCAATCATCTCCCAATAGGAATTGGTTATTTCAGATGCATTTCCAAATCACTGGACAAACAGATCCACCAGAGATCATTCCCCCAACTCCAAAAAACAATCAGAAGTACACCATATATGTTGGAGGGGATTTTCACGTCGATGTGTATGCCAAGCCCTCAAATAATAGGTATGTTTCAAACTCAGCTAAATTAATTTTATCTGCATGTCTAGTCAATAATTTTTCATGTTGAACCTGGAAAAGAAATACAGATATTTTTTTTTTCTTATATACTCTTATAAACTTATATATAATCTAATAACTCTATTGATAAAATCAAACGAGGAAAACTATAACTAAGAAAATTCTATTCCTTTTACGTCATTTAATTCAAAGCAAGACAATATTGAACGTGAAAGTTCATCATGTTCATTTTATCTTGATATTATACAATGTTGAAACTGATACAATTTGATATAAATTAACATATTATGTGTCTTATGCTTAAGTAAATATTTTACGTCTGATTAATAGGCTTATTTCTATTCGCTTCGTGATTGGGAGGCCCGGGTTCGATTCTCGTGCGTCATACCTAAGACGTAAACAAAGGTAGTGACTGTTCCTTCGCACAAGCGCTCGGCACTAGAAGTGAAAGTCACGGGTCTTTCGGATATGACCTTAAAAATGTAGGTCCCGTGTCACGGAAGGCGCTGACACGATAAAGAAACCTCATTGCTCAATGGCCCTGAGTGCCGAGTATACGTCTTTATTTGAAGCCATTCACCGGCATACGGTAACGTCTCCATATGAGTGAAAATTTCTCAAGAGGGACGTTAAACAAGATACAATCAATCTGTTACCAAGGCAACGTATGAATTTCCATTTTCTTGTGAAAGTTAACAGAGAAATGTCCTTGCTACTTCGTGAAATAAAAGACAGGAATAGTGCTTAAAATTTATTATTTAAATAATTTTACACTATACATGTATGTAAGTTTGTGCTACTTTACAATAGAGATTGCTTCGTAAGAGTTTTTTATTTTGTTTTTTAAATATTTCATACAAAAATCAATTGATAATGTGCGGAATTGATAATAAACGGAATGGAAATAAAAACAAATTATTGAATTTCTCATGTGTAACATCTATTATGAACATCTTTTACACATCTGTATTCACTCTATTTTTTCTAATTTGTTGGCAAATATTAGTATAATTATTGAAATTGCTGTCAGCCATTCTTCAAAAAATTGAAAGAAATTGCATTTTATCATAATGTCAAATGCTGACTGTTTTTTTAAATACATATTTTTGGTTCATTATTTACACATTGACTTGTCTACGAATTTTGCTTTTATGCTATCACTCGGCAAGTATGACCATTCCACAAGGGATGCGTGCTTTACCATGGCATCTGATTCCAACTCTGATTAACTTCGTGGTCCCGATTTGTAAATTTTTTAAGGACTTTTGAGTTTGATTAGTATTTGTTATCCGGTTATTTCTTTATCTAAATGTGCTAGAAGTTTGATCATGTTGAAACCTTTCCTTATCTAATATATCAGTCCAGTCCAATACGAAAATTCGTAATATTACGAAAAAACATAAGATTACGAGAAAGTGTAATATTACAAGTTATCGTAATATAAAACTTATATTACAATTTTTCGTAATGCAGTTAAATTACGAATACGCGTAATATAGCAGATGTAAGAGATTATATTACGAGTTTTCGTAATCCAAGACAAAATAAAGCATTGCAAGAAATTGAGTGGCGGGTAGCAAAGTATGACTTTACTACGAGATGCCACGGGCGATAACTTGTACGACTCTTACTGAGATTTGATTTCTGTGTATTTCAATAAGAATTGCAAGAACAGTTGAATTATGAGATGAGGGTGTGATTTTTAGGGTAGACTTCGCAAGAAAAGTAGGGAGTTCGGGTGATTTAGACCAATGTGACATGCTTAAGCGAATATTGAAATTTACTAGAAAATTGGTCTTATCCTTGGGAAAATTCCTATAAAAGAATAATAAAAGAAATTGTCCACTCACCCATCGCTGGCGGTACTTTTTTCTTGAATTTCCCTGCTTTCTGATAGGCGTAACTGACTAAACTGACTGCGTGCTATCAGTAGCCGTGGAATCTGATATATTACTGACGTCATACTTTGCTACCCACCACTCAGTTTCTTGCAATGCTTGAATTTGTCTTGGATTATGAAAACTCGTAATATAGTCTCTTACAATCTGCTATATTACGCATATTCGTATTTAACTACATTACGAAAAATTGTAATATAAGTTATATATTACGATAACTTGTAATATTACGCTTTCTCGTAATCTTACGTTATTTCGTAATATTTCTAATTTTCTTATTGGACTGGACTGTATATTAAACCTTCTTTTAAATCTCATCATCTAATGATCATATACAAACTGAACCGGTCACGGTAGCTTAAAGACAGAGCATTCGCTTTGTGATCGGGAGGCCCGGGTTCGATTCTCGTTTGCAGTTCCGCGTCAAACCTAAGACATAAACATAGGTAGTGACTGTTCCTTCGCCAAGCGCGGGGCATTACACATTTTAAAATTCTACTTTGAATTCTAATATTACTTAGCTGACGATGCTCTCTATGTTATATATTCTAATTTACGTCATTATTTGCATTGTTTGAAAAGGACCGTTGTTTCAATTGAGTTCTTGAGAAGGGACGGAAAACAGGTTAATAATTCTGGACTTCAACCAGCAAACAACATCGCAACTAATGCTGTTTATACATCTATGATGTGGTCACCTGCAGAACAGGATCTTGGCAAACACATTGTTTGTGCCAGTGCGAAAGATAACAAGGGGTAACTTATAAAATGATACATAAAATCAAGAACTAGGGACATAAGAGTAACTTTTTCATGTAAATCTTTATCTGTAGATTATCTTTTACAATTTTTTTTTCATTCTTTCTTATCCCAATAAATTAATTTTATCATATAAAAAACACATTTCAAAAATTCTGCTTTTGTTTAATTTTTAAATATTCTTTTCTACAGGAGAATCACTGTTGATCTACATTGCTTCATTATCATCGTCAAAAGTCTGTATACCTTATGTTTTAAACCATTATGTCTATAGTAAATTCATTTTTATTGAATCTGTTACATGTAGTAGTAAGAAAAATGCTTTGAATATTATAACCCTCTAATCCTTCGTTTATTTAAAATCATCAGTATCAAGTATATTAAATTTGGGGCATATTCACCATTTTTAATTTCTTTTTCAGAAAACATATTTAGACAGGAACCCCCCGTAACTGTGAGAAGATTTCTAAAATGTTTTGTAGTATTAGTATTTTCTTATGAATAATAACCTCTTCCCTTTGACATATTGTTTTATTTTCCTCATTTTTTTCTCATTATTTCTAGGGAAAGCCTTACTTTGTTTCATTTCCAAAAAGAAGCGATCTCAACTGTAACAGAGGGACTATTTGTAGATTTCCAGTGTATGCCTCCACAGACGAATCACTGTAACGCACTTTATTGGATATCCATATTTCTTTCTTATATGCATTTTTCTCTATGCATGTACAACAATCTTATTTACGAAAATTATATATTTATCGAACACAGATATTTAGCTCAATGTTTTTTTTTATTGGAAATTAGTAAATGATTCAAATGAAACATATGGAGATAATGAACAGTAAGATTATAATATTTGATTAAGGGTTGTTTATACTTTGAAACACATATGTCCAATTATTAAACTTTCCACTTGTCAAAGAAAGACACTTTATACAGATATCAATGTGAATTCCATCGATTAACAATTACACTCATTTTGGGGTGTCTTAAAAGAATGCCTTCATATAATTAATGACAAAAGACATAACACTATCTCTGAAGTGTTATAATAGCAAGTTAGAGACATAATGTAAATGGTTTTAAAAAAAAAACAGTACGATTAAATGTAAATAATCATAGCCCCTCTGATTCAGAACTCCCTTGATATTCAAAAAAATATTCAAGATTTATCCGTTGTTTCTCATTTTGATTTTTTTTTCCTCGAAAGATACATAAAATAAGATACTAATCAATAACAGATCAATCTTTTTTGTCTTTATTTACCATTGTATTTTAACAGTGGAATCACTACTATAAAAAGCACATCAGAAAGTATAGAAAACGTCACAATACAATACAGTAATGAATTGATCGATGGAAAAATTACCGCCAAGGTGGCACAAGTACAATTTTTGGCTCAGGAGGAAGGTCCTCGACGGATCTGTTTGAAAGCATCTGACAGGTAGGAAGGAACTTATTGACAATTGTGAGTTTGTCCTGTATGATGTGAACTATCTATACTATAAAGATTCAATCTAAGTTTTAGTGTATTTAGCAAAACTAGACGAATTATTATTAACCAGTTCACTAAATGATACCCCTGCCTTCCTTGCCTATACAAATGTTCAATCAGGTATTCTAATACGTTTCACAAACCATGAAAAACAAGAAAATGGAATAAAAATTATTGTTAAGATTAGGGTTTTTTTTCGAACAACCTACTAATTTTCACACCAAAAAATATGAAAATAATATAATTTTGAAAAAACGTAAAAATGAAAATTTAAAATCTATTCAAAGAAAATTTTCTCTTTATTTTCATGTTAACACAGAATTTTCTTGTTTGCAAGCAGATATTGAAATTTGTGTTTAATTTTTCCCTTTTACATGTATATGCTAAGTGCCTAAATTTAGTAGAAAATATTGGAAGGCTTTTTGAATTTACCAAACCCTCCGGGAATCCTTTAGTATGTATGTCTGTTAATTCACAACCTATTTCTGTAACTTATTAGTAATACACCTAGGGGACAATATTGCCTCTTCGTAAATACAGTCTATACCATGATATTCGGTATGCAAAATAGTCCGCTTTATTATTTAGTAGTTATTGATATTCTAGTGCATTTCTTTCTTTCTTTCTTTTAGAAAGGATTCCGTTATCAAATGTTTAATTGTCAATGTACATTTGACAGGTACGTGATGTGATTGAATTAAATTAAAAATCGCAAAACCCCTTTCTATTTTTATATATGTACTTTTATGTCAATTACAAGATATTTTCTATAACTTGTATTTTAGACCCTTGTTTGTCTGATCCATGTCTGCATAGCGGAATATGTGAAGCTTTCGTTGATAATACTGGATTCAATTGTTCCTGTACAGTGCTGTATACTGGAAATTTATGTGAAACAAGTATGTACACGACGAATGCAATAATTTTCGTTGTCCAAATTGTTATACTTTTAAAAGTTGTTCCAATACAAATCTATACGAAAAAAGTCTGATATTTCTAATGTTATGCTGAGTGGTTATAAAAAATCGACGCTGGACCGCTTTCTGAGATGTCGGACCGCTTACGTCACAGAATTGGCGGAGCTTAATCTCATTTTTGTTCGTATGTGTTCAACATTGACGTACATGATGTAACACAACAGAAGACAGTAAATAATACATGTACATGTCAAAATAAAATAAAAGGTATAACAAAACATTTACTGACTGAGTTCTCGGGCAAAATGCATTTTGTCGACACTCGAACCAAACTGTCTGCCTTCGATCTAACAGGCAGACATTTTAGATCTTGGGCCCAACAAAACGCATGTTGCCCTCGAAATTAATCAATAAATGTTGTTCTTTATTTTTCGGGGATTACACTTGAGTTGGAGAAGTAAAATACTGTAGGAGTACTTTTTTCGGCATAGTATTAATTTACGCTATGTACGCGATCACAGATTCCACAGGATAGAACGGCGCATTCAGGGTGGCGGTGGGGCGTAACTCGGGGTGGCGGAACCGAAGCGAGAAAAACACCATCAAGGTGTGTTTACCTGAATATTTTTCATTTTTTCATATGTTCAGACGTCTTAGATCATAAAATTGTATGCTACGGAAGAGAACAAATATCAACATACCTCTGACTGTTTAAAGCAGGCTGTGAGAGTGCTCCGTTTTCTCAAACACTCCTCCTCACTTTTCGGGGTATCAACGTTTTCGACTTCTGATATGATATTCTGTTTCAAAATCGATCTCAAAGGTGTTTTTCCTCACATCATCAACTGTAATAAAGTTGTACGATATGATTTAACTTCAGTCCTACTTTAAAAGTCAATATATTATACTAATTAAGCCAATGTAGGCTTCAAACTCTATGCGACGATCGGGGTGGCGGTTTTTACGCCTTGCGGGGTGGCAGCATGTCCGAGAAATATGTATTATTAGCTCACCTGAGCCGAAGGCTCAAGTGAGCTTTTCTGATCAAAATTTGTCCGTTGTCTGTCGTTGTTGTCGTCGTCGTTGTCGTCGTAGTCGTTGTCGTTGTCGTAAACTTTTCACATTTTCATCTTCTTCTCATGAACCACTGGGCCAATTTCAACCAAAATTGGCACAAAGCATCCTTAGGTAAAGGGAATTCAAGTTTGTTCAAATTAAGAGCCACGCCCTTTTCCAAGGGGAGATAATCATGAATTTGTTAAAAATTAATGGCATTTTAAAAAAATCTTCTTCTCAAGAACCACTAGGACAGGAAAGATGAATCTCATGTGGAATCATCCTCAGGTAGTGTAAATTCAAGTTTGTTCAAATCATGACCCCCGGGGCAAGGGTGGGGCCAAAATGGCCGACCCAAGTTTTACATAGGAATATATAAGAAATATCTTGTAAAATCCTTCTCAATTATCACTGGGCCAGGAAAGATGAATCTCATGTGGAATGAACCTCAGGTAGTGTAGATTCAAGTTTGTTCAAATCATGACCTCCGGCCCTGGGGATAGGGTGGGGCCAAAATGGCCGACCCAAGTTTTACATAGGGATATGTAGGGAAACCTTTTAAAATCTGCTTTTCAAGTATTTCAAAGCTATGATTAGTAATATTTATATGGAATCATCCTCAGGTAGTGTAGATTCTAGATTGTTGAAATGATGAACGCCTGGAAAGGGGGGGGGGTAGTAAATTCAAGCCCGATGTGCTCAGGTGAGCGCTGTGGCCCCTGGGCCTCTTGTTTTTTTCATTCAGCGTTCTCCTGGCCCCCTAGCGAGACAAAAAAGATTCAGATCTCTTAGAGAAATTAAGATTATGGCATGGCATGATGTTATTTCGCTCTAAATGTGTCTAAGTCAAATTTTAAGAAGTTTATTTCGTATTTTAAAGTCCAAACTGAACAAGAAATAGACACTTTATAATGATACAATGTAGTGGTTAGTGGTGCGTATTGCTATGTACAGTTGCTACATTAAAGTTTTGAACAAAAGTCCATGTTAAGCAGTATAAACCACTATACATTATAAGAGAGAGGTATTTTTGTGGAGCGATTGTTTTGGGATTTTTACGATTTTTACCTATTGCACACATGATGAATAAGTATAAACAATTTAGTAATTCATTTATGAAGAAAGATTTAATATCGGGGGGGGGGGGGGGGGGGTTCTGTTCACAAATATCTGTGGTCCATAATTTTGCGACAAATTTTATCAGTTTCATTTTCTTCAAAAGAAAACTCGAATTTATGTATTCTTAGAGGGATGATGCAGGGATGTCAATCTTGAAACATTACAAAGTCCCTGTCCATCTCGGTTCTGGTTGTCCAGGATAAGATTTGATAGTAATCCATTGATTGGCGCACGATGTTTTCCCAGGAATATTTTCCACCATGCTTCATTAAGAAATATCTGTAGATAATTTAAAAGATTGTATTTTTTAAAAAATGTCAAATGTCTTGTACAAAACAAGTGATCTGATTATATGGTTGGAGTGCCCATGGCCATTATCTGATCTGCGATTGGCAAAAAGATAAGACAAAAAAAGTAAACTTCAAAGAATAATAAATTCGAAAAGAAAAATTGGTAGAAATAAAACGAATAAGGTTTGTTATATTGATTTGTTGTTACACCAATAGGTTAGTGAAAACTAAAAGTTATATGGAAATCATGTTATTTCAAATTATATTTATCCTTGAACATTTTTCTTGTCCCATGTTAAGGGGGGACTCAAGGACGTTTTTACTCCACCACATACATAATTATGTATGTAACCGGTCTTGTAGGGTAGACTTTACCCCCTAAAATCTCCCTCTCCCCCGGAAAACTGGCTCTTAAGTAGACTTTCCCGCGGAAAGCTGGCTCTAGAGTAGAATTTCCATTACGGAAATTCCACATCAGAGTCAATTTTCAGGGGGGGGGGGGTCCTAATATGTATAGTAGTTATAGAGTTTAATTTCCTCAGATTCAATCTTTATTTTCCAGTAATTACGCGAGACTGTACTCGTAAAAATTTGATTTTTGCGTGTAATAGTATTCTATAGAATTATAGAGAGCAAGAACCACAAGTCGTGAAAATTTGTCTCGCTTATCAAGAGTCAATGACAATCTCGCGAAAATAAGTGTCGCGAAAATATATTGATCTATGTAGTATTTAAATATGTAAAATGAAAGTTAATTTTTTTCATTAAAAGTTTCAAAAATAGGGAGATTTAATATGACGAAAAAAATTGTATAGATTAATAAGGATGGCTACAGAAAGGTGGAAATTTGATCATCATAGTAAGTTTACAATTTTTAAATATTTAAGAAATTTTATTATTGTAATCATTTACAATCAAAATACATATATACCAATCTAGACATCCATTTTTGTTTGTTTCATTATATTTTGAGAATACAAATGTATTTATATTTCATTTGAAAGCTAAATAATTTTGGTTTGAGATTACATGATTTGCCCTACAATATAAGTAATTAAACCCACTCATTTACCTTTTAAAAATCAGTTTGTCGTTTATCTTTTTTTCACAAAGATACTGAGTATTGCGGCTGTGGTTTACATTGACTCTATAAACGAGGGGATGGGGGATCCTACTCTGAGAAAGAAAGAGGGGAAATTTTATTCTGGTATGAGTTTCCGCTCAGTGGAAAATCCTACTCTAGAGTACGATTTCCGGGGGGCAAAGCTGGGTATGGTGGAAATCTTACTCTACAACACCGGTATGCTCTCGTTGTCGTTTTTATCCTTTTTATTTAATTTAATTTTACGTTTGTTCCAATGGATAAGACTGAAAATGGCCGGGGGGGGGGTAGTCATTCTACAATTTTTATTTATGGCATAGCCCCAACCACTTTTTGCAAGGAAAGACATACTAAAGACATTGAACATTTTGAGGGTAGTTTTAGCCCCCACCCCACCCCTTTCTACACGCAAAGGTTACAGTGTAT